ATCCCTCTCCTGATTCTTCAGAAACTTTGAGGAGGTGGGGGTAGCCTTAGCTACCTCCAGGCCACCTCTCCCTCCCTCCTATAGATCCTTAGGTCCCTCCCCAAAAGGTTAATAATCATGGAATTGTCCCATCAAAGAAGATTGTACTTTGTGCCTCAAAGACCAAATGGAGCTTCCGTAAAGTGGTTATTTGCGGTCTCTAATAAGCATTTTCTGGGTGTGATTAACCTTTATGCCAAAGTCACAGTGGGAACTGGGGTGGCAGCTCAGACTGTGCTGGCCTGGGGGGCAGGGACGCTGGAGCTGGAGCAGGCAGCTGTCAGGCCCAGTCCTCCCACCAGCCCTCCAGAGACTTCTTAGCACTTTCCTTGATTCTCTATGGCTCCGTTCTGCCTCCCACTGTGGGTGCCCTGTGCTCGCCAGGGCCTGACATCCATTGTGCAGCTTCTTGAAGGCAGGTGACCTCTTTGAGTAGCGGAGTGCCCTTGTCTTTCTCAGACTGGACCTTCAAGGCTTGCGGAGAATTAGCAGTAAGACAGTTTTGTTTGTGGGTACAGTCCCAGCCACCCGCCAGTGAGTGAACTGTGCACACTGTCAGCTTGTTAAGAGAATCTTAGCTTCTCTGCTAGCCAGAAAATTGCAAGTTTCAACTAAAGAGCAAGCAGGAGTTGGATGTAGTCCCCCCACACATTTGTAGCAGACGTCCAGCTTGGTCTTCATGTGGGTCCCCTAACAATTGGAGCAGGGATGGGAGCTGTCTCTGACTCTGGATCCTGCTGCCACTGGATCCCCTTCACCTACCTGGACTGCCTGGTTAGGCTTCAGCGGGAGAGGATGTGCATAGTCCTGCTGGGACTAGATGTCTACAAAGGGGGCCTCCTTTTCTCTGAGGAGAAGGTGAGGGGGTAATAGAGGAGGGATTTGTAAGGGCAGGACTGGGAGGAGAGGAGGGAGGGGGCTTCGATTGGGATGTAAAGTGAATAAAAAATATGTATTATTAAAAAAAGAAAACAGCAAGTTTTATGAGATACTAAAAACTTGGGGTTTTTTTGTTTTTTTTTTTTAAAACTAGTTGTGGGGGCCTGGGAGACAGCTCAGTGTGTGAGAGAGCTTGCTTGTTACATTAAGTATGGAGACCTGAGTTTGAACCCCAATACCTACATAAAATGTAGCACATGACTGCACATGCTTATAAGCCCAACATTAGGGGACAGAGCCCAGGAACTCACTGGGCATCCAGCCTCACTAACCGAGTGCACTTCTCAATCACCAGCAGACCCTGTCCCAGAGGAATAAGGGAGAAGGAAATAAAGGACAGCATCTGACATCTTCCTCTGAACTCCATGTTCATGTGATGCACAAACACATGGGCATGCAACACACGTGCACACACTCACACACAGGCACACACACTCACACACAGGCACACACAAACACACACATGCACACACATGCACAAACTCACACACACATGCACACTCATGGGCATGCAACACACACACACACTCTCACAGGTGCACACACACACACAAATACACATGTGCACACACACACAAAACACATTCATGCACACACATACACACTGCACAAAGTTTAAAAAGTGGTTCTGAACACACAGCCAGTGTCCAGTGCTAAGGCTGGAAGGAGAGAACAGAGTAGACACAAAGAGTGTACTTTGGTCTGATTTAAGAAGACCCCGATCTGGTTGTATGTAGGCCTGGGCCTTGTGAAGAAGAGGCAATGATGAACTCTCCTGAGAAAAATTGTTTGTTTGTTTGTTTGTTTTTTAAAAAAACTATTTTTAAAAACCATTCCACAACTGATTACAGGGAATTCACACTCCCCTGCCCACAATGCGTTTGTGGAGCCCAGATTAAGAATTCCCAATTTTGCTGGGTGCGGTGGCACACTTGGGAGACAAAAACAGGAGGATGTCTGTAAGTTCGAGGCCAGCCTGGTCTACAAAGCAAGTTACACAGAGAAACCTTGTCTTTAAAAAAAAAAAAATCCCAGTTTTATCTAGTCATGGCAGTACACACTTTTAATCCTTGAACCTGGGAGACTGAGACAGGAGGGATTTTGAGTTTGGGACCAGCCTTGACTACTTAGGGAGCTTGGCTTCAAACAAACAAATAAATCTTCATTACGAGGAAGATAACACTTTAGTCTGGAAAGTTTGGGAGCCTTTGGCCGCCAGCAGAGCCTTCTCTTGCTGACGGAGACAGGAAACAGAGATGACTATGGAAGAGACCCACAGTCCACAAGAGGGAAACACTGGACCTTTGTGGAAGTAGGATTTCAGAATTAGCTAGAAGCTTTCATAAACCTCCACAGAGCAGGAGGGGCACAGGTAAAGATTCTCCCACACAGCTGACCTTTTAGGGGAGGAAAGACCAGCTTAGGAATTTTAAGTATTTGCCTTTACATAACGCAGTCCGGGTCCTCTGTGAGCAGAAAACAGCTCTGTGACCTAGCAGATCTAAGACAGACAGACAGATAGACAGACAGATAAGCAACAGGGTTTAAGGTCAGCTGAGCCCTTTGCCCTGTGGCATTTGGTTCTTCTTCTTTCTTCCCCCTGCCCCAACAAGTCTGGATTTCTGCTCTAATGAACTCCAGGACATTAAGATGTGTGAATAAAAGCTTCCGGTCCTCGAATTCATCATCTAATTAGAGCTGGGTTGAGTGTGTGCGGTAATGAGCTGGCTTTCACACACTCGGGCTACCCCAGGGATTCCATTGGGAACATCCCTAACACAAGCAGGGCATGGGGGTGTACCAAGGGGACACTGAAAGGGTATACTGAGTCACTTTGCTTTGGAGTGCTAAAGAGAAGTTTTGGCTCTAAGGACAGCTGAGTCACCAGGTGCTGGATGAGGTTAGAAGAGACATAGACTGTGTGGGCGAAGGTGGACCAGAACAGGAGGGGGGCTGTATAGCAAGAGAGGATGCCGGGTAAGTAGGTGGGAACGGGGCATGATGTGTCTTCAAGGGGGAGCTAAAACATGGAAGCATGTTTTAAGTATTAAATTGATCAGGGTAGGAGTCAGGCAGTGGGCTAATATTTTTCAATAGGGTTCGAAGTTTACTTAACTTGCCCGTGGCTGAAATGAGATTGGTTGATTGAATGATTGATAACTGATTGATTTGTTGATTGGCTGATTTGTCTGTATGTGTTAAGAGGTGAAGGAGAGCAGGATTTTCTATGGGGACCTCTCTCCCTAGCAGCTATTACCCATCTCTGGGGAGAACACAGAGCAGGGTCCCTGCTGATTCTGAGTGATCTGCTGCGTAGCTTTGTCAAGAGGACACTGCCTTCTCTTAGCTGTCAAGAGCTACCCGCTAGCCCCATGGCTTCCTCTTCTCTCCACTTCTGCCTTTGCATTTGGAAAATGAGGCTGATGATATTTCTTCACGTCTCCGGAGACTGAAACTTAATTACTGATTTATAAAGTGTGGGAAGTTGCTTGGGGCCAGGGCAACAAATGGGTTTATTCTAACCACCACCAAGGCCCTGGAGTGAGTTTACTCTCCCCAGGGCTGATGGCAGAGCAGCTCCTGAACCTGCACGGGATGGTGGGACTGGGGACAACGGAGGAGCTTGTGTCAGCAATGAGAGCCCTAGGATGAGATGGAGGGAGGATGCTTGAAGTGAGGAAATGAATCAGATAAAGCCCACTAAAGACTTGGGCAGACACCCAGGGGGATGACGTGGCTCTGTAAGTCACCAGGATTAGGGGTGATTCTCATGGGGGCTAGGTCCAAGCTCTGGTCAGGAAAGCATGGTGGGAAAGAAGACAGCAGAATCTGCCTTTGTAACCAACATCTGACAGAAGGGAGGAGTGAGTACTGCTGATGCTGGGGATGCTAGCTTCTGAAGGGAGATGGATGGGCAAATGGACAAAGAGAGAGAGAGAGGGAGAGAAAAAAGAGAGAGAGAGAGAGAGAGAGAGAGAGAGAGAGAGAATATATCAAGCTTTGACCAGCCACAGTCAAAGAAACTAGGGTTCCATTGCCCTGTGGATAATTCTCTCAAGCCTAGGGCTTGCAAAGAAGGGAACAGGAAAGACTGGAATGCTGTGTGGAGAACACGTCCAGGGTTGCCATCCAACCTAGGGATTCTTCTCCCACTGTGAAGGAAAGGATGCATATGATAGTGCCCCTCTCCTATCCCCACAAGCTTCTGGACCCCTTTGCCAAAGGAGCCCCCAACAGACACAGCTCCAGCCCATCTCCACTTCGATAGAGCAGATAACAACCACTGAGTTCAAGTCGATCTGTATGTCCTCCTTGTGTAGCCACATCATAACATCACTCCCTAACTTAGTTGCCAAATGTGAGCACGGTACATGTTCTCAAACACGGGGGAGATGAACTTGCTTAAGAGTGCAGACACTGAGGCCCAGATAGGTCACACAGCCCACTCACCCAGACTCTAACCTTAGAGGCAGCAGTAACCTAAGAAAGGTATCATCGTGGTTGGGGATGTCCATTCAAAAAGAGACAGCCCTCCAGTCATAGGGCCATGCTGCTCCCATTCCAAAAAAGCTGTGATCCTGGAGTCAAATTGACACAGAGCCCTCAGTGGGGTTAAAGGACAAAGGCCTTCCCTAGAATAGGGACCCATCTTCCCAGACACGATCATTTCTTCAGTGCCTCAGTTTCTCCATCTGCAATAGCCACATGCATGCTGGCCCCAGGGAGAATCAAGCCATCGTACAGTACATCAGAGTTTGACACATAAAAAAGGGGAGGTAGAAGGTTGGGTGCAAATGTGTGTACATGCCTTTGTAGGGACCTGGTTGCACATGTGGAGATGGCCAGAGACAAACACCAGCTTCCATTCCCAGCCCTCTGTGAACCAGGCAGTTCCAAACATTCAGGAGGGCACCAGGAGACTGGGAAAGGGTAGGATGCTGGGCAGAGGAGGAGGGGCAAGAATCGTCAGGTCAGACTGTCGAGCACTCCTAACAGTGTCCTGCACCCCCTTATGCCCACAGGCCCTTCTCCTTCTGGGGCTGAACTCCGTCTCCACCTCCCTCCAGGATCAACACTGTGAGAATCTGTCCCTGGCCAGCAATGTCTCTGGTGAGTCACCCCTGCCCCTTACCTCTCAGGATGCCAGGTTCTCATAGGGTCTCCTTCCTTGGCGTGGCCTGTATGGAAAAGAAAGATCTGGAGCTGGAGTCAGTGAGTGAGCGAGGACTTGAGGTTAGCTAGCAGCCTTGGCTGTGGGCACAGGAGGCAAATGTGTCACACATTCACCATCCCATGGGCAACGGGGCCAGCCTGGTCTACAGAGTGAGTTCCAGGACAGCCAGGACTACACAGAGAAACCTTGTCTCGGAAAAAAAAAAAAAAAAAGATTTTATTTATGTGAGTACACACCAGAAGAGGGCATCAGATCTCATTACAGATGGTTGTGAGCCACCATGTGGTTGCTGGGAATTGAACTCAGGACCTATGGAAGAGCAGTCAGTGCTCTCAACTGCTGAGCCGTCTCTCCAGCCCCATGAATCAGTTTCATAAATTCTCCAGGATGCTACTATCAATAGTAGCAGGGTCTGGACCCAAATCTAGGTCTTCTGGGCCCCAAGACCAAGCCTTCTCTCATTCTGGGCATGGCCCCAGGGATGGGCGGGTACCAGACAGGATGCAGTGGAGACTCTTTTTTTTTCCCCCATTCTTGCATCAGCCTCAAATGCATTAGATTCTGTGTAAGTCACCAGAGGATCGAAGAGAGTCTCCCAGTCTCGCCCAGGTCCCCAGGACTGAAAGCCAGAGGGCAGAAGAGCAGCCAGTGGAGATACAGACTCAAGAATGTAAACAAGGCCAGAGGAATTCATTTCTAAAGCTGAGCCCACTGGGAGAGGAGGCCTCTGCAACTGAGAGCAGCATTCATATGGCCCTCTGTTCCCTCGCAGAGGTGGAGGAAGGGAGTATTGGACCTGCAGGAACCATCCATGTACAGTACTGACTCCTAGTTGGGCTCACTCACACCCCAAACTGTGGGGCTCAGGACTGGTACCCACAGGAAGACTATGCCCTAGACTTCTTTGGGCCTTCCTTTGCCCAAATGGAGGGAAGGGAATCTATGAGGTTAAATGCACTGAATTTTGAGAATCTGTTTCACAAACTGTAGAATTCAGATAGCTACTGGGTATAACCATGAGCGGCTTCTTAAAAGCACTTCATTGTATAGCTAGGAAGAAGAGAAAGTACACGCTACCATCTGCTTGGCTGCTGCAAAGGAGGTGTTGGGAGGCCAGGACAGGGGCAGGGCAAATCTAAGAAGCCTTTCTGAAAGAGAGGGGTTTTTAAGTGAGCCTAAAGACAGAGCAATCAGTGATTGAACACCAGTGGGTAAATTTGGCAGAAGAACTCACCAGGGTAAGAGGGGCACTGGTCCTCTCAGCCTCAGACTACTCACTGGCTGAATTGAGCAGGTAGAGCATTGTTCTCAGCCTGTGGGCAATTGCAGCCAAAAAGAACCCGGAGGGAGGGAGGATGCCTGGAGGAAAGGTCCCCTTCTCTCCTCTCTACCCCAGGCTAGGTCAGGCTCAGTTAACTTGCTTGTGTTCAAGAGAAATGACACCCTGGAGCCACACAGGTGTCACCTGTCCTTGGAGGCAGCAGGCTGTGATGAATGGCGTTCATTCCTCCGTAATTTGCACTGGATGATGCCCCACCCCCATCCCAGCCTGCCTGGCCTCATAGGATGCAATCCATCACCCTCACAACGGCCTCCGATACAGCCATTTGTCATCTGATGCTGAGACCAACCCAGACCGATGGGCATTGGCAGAGACAGATGGTGAGGGTGGGGCGAAAGGCCCGGGACAGATGGATGGATGTCTGGCCGGAGTGGCTGGCACTGTGCTCAAACCTTTGGGGGCCTTGCGCATGCTTCATGCCAGAAAGCAAGGAGGGGCTAGGTTCCTATGGCCAAAGCCCCATCATGTGACAGATTACAGAGTTGGCTCCTTATAAAATCATGGCATGAGTATGTCTATGCCAGGAAGAAATAGAATTACGGACTAATAACATCATAGACAAGTGGAATCAGAGCTCTTGAGGACCCAGGGTCACCGGTTCCTCTTCCTCTTGTTAAGGTGTCAATGACTGACAACTGTTATAACGGTAGCTAGCGTGTGTGGATGTCCTCTTGTGCTGGGCGCCTCTCTAAGTGCTCAGCCTCATTCAGTCATCACGTTGGAGTCAGCGAGGATTTTTGATTCTGCTTTAAGGAAAAGGAAGCTTAGACTTAGAGAAGTTGACTAACTCACCTGAGCACAGTTACCGAGCACTGTCCTCAAGAACTGAGCCAACTGGACACTGATCTCAGATTTAGTACATTATGTGGTCACTTAAGAGATCTGTCGGGCTGGTGAGATGGCTCAGTGGTTAAGGGCACTGACTGCTCTTCCAGAGGTCATGAGTTCAAATCCCAGCAACCACATGGTGGCTCACAACCATCTGTAATGATATCTGATGCTCTCTTGTGGGGTGTCTGAAGATAGCTATAGTGTACTTACATATAATAAATAAATAAAAATTAAAAAAAATAAAGTTGTGTGCCATCATGCCCAGTTTGGCCTGGGTATTTAAAAAAAAGAGAGAGAGAGATTTGTCATACCCACGGCCCAGTGTCCTCAGTCACTTGGAGATGCAGTGTCACCCCTGAAGTTTTCCCTGCACATACTGAGCTTGCATATAGTCCTATAGTTTCTTCAGCACCTACTGTGTGCTTGGACCTCTACTAGGTATTGAGTGTAAAACTCAAGAGTGTTCAGGGCCACAAAACAGGAGGGCTCATGGACTCCTACCTACTCTCCTGGTGTGTCCCCAGAGACACTTTCTGTATAGCCCTGACTGTCTTGGAACTTGCTCTGTAGACCAGGTTGGCCTTGAATTCAGAAACCCATCTGCCTCAAGACACCTACCTTTGCCCTGCCTTTCTTTACAGCTTAACCCAAGGTGACGAGCCTGTCTGCCTGCCTGTGTGCCTTTCTCCATGCCATGTGGCCCAGACAAAGCTATGGCCCCTTCATCTCATGGCACCAGCCTCCCACTGGCAGGAGTGCCTGTCTTAGAGGCTGCCCATAGGCAGCCCCAGAGTTCCTCTTCCTGACTCAAGCCAGATGGGTAAATGGGTTTTCTAGCTGCAGGGGGATGCCAGATCCTAGAGCTTTTTGTGATTCGCCCAGAAGCATGTAATAGGAGATCCTCTCACACCTGGGCAGGAGCATTACCTACAGTGGAAGGGTCCTGTGAACACCCTTGAGCACTGATTTTGATAGGGAGGAAACTGTGGGGTCAATTTAACAGAAGAGATCAGTGTCCAACTGTACACAAGCAGTAACTAGGACAACCTTGGAAGAGTCCTTATCTGTTAACCGTATGACACAGTGACAAGTGACAACCCCGGATACCTCAGCAAACACCTCCTTGGGACCTTGGGACTGGCTGCTCCTGATCTTCCGTGTATACACAACTCCCTCCCTCCAAGACTGTGATTAAACTTAGTGCTTTAGAAAAATGCCAAATTAAAATAGCACAGTCTGTCTTCTTCTCCGTTCATTATTTGTAGTATTCCCTACTGGATAGCACATGCTTGCTTGTTCACTGTGTCTTTCAGTACAGTGAAAGCCCCCTTAGGGCCGGACATCTTATTTTATTCATTTTTCTATCCCAAGTTCACACCATTTCTTGGGTGAGTTAAGTATTTGAATTATGCTTGGTTTTGTTAAGAGTGGGAAAGAACATGAGAGAGGGTAGGGAGGGGGGAGGACCTAGGAAGAGTTAGAGGAGGGGAAAAATATGAGCAAGACATATCCTGTGAAAATAAGAGTCACTTTAAAAGCCTCCTGTATTCTTCCCTGTCCATTTGGCAGCTGACCAGGAAGGGGCTCGTAGGTAGTTGGCTGGCTGTAGGATGAGATAGCATCCTGACCACAGCTCACCTTTGCTGCCACAGGCTGGAGAGTCTGATTAGCTAGCAGGCTGGCCTGGCCTGATTCAAACTGCTTCCCTCTCAAAACGATGATGAAGTAGGATAGTACCACCTCCTATCCAAAAGGAGGAGAGAAGAGGAGAGGAGAGGAGAAGAGAGGGG